AAGTTGGAAAACAGGAGGAAAGAAAGAAAGGAAGAAAAAAGGAAGAGAAAATAATTGACCATTAATATTGAAATTGAATGTTTGAAATGATCGATAATTCGTTAATAGATTTCCATATCGAATAATTAATAAATTCGGCGCCGGTACGACGGACAATTTGCATTTATAATTCGCGATTCACCGAGTTATCGTTCGAGTAATCGGTGAAAATTGTGAAAACCGGAGGCCGCGAATCCCTGCGCTTCCCTCCATTGATTTCAGAATCGCCGACCAAACATCATTAAATATTTCACTCGTGAATATTAATAGCCGTGGATTCTACCGAGCGAGGATTTTATTTTACCATTTTTAGAAACGAGATCGAAAGGTAAATTGAAAAAATTTCGTTTTATCCGAGGGGAGGAAATTCAAGATTTTTCCACCAACTTTTAAATTAACTTCCGTCAAGAAAATAAATTTTTACGTGGCACGGATGTAAAAGTTTCCGAATCGAAAAAAAGCCGGTGTTCCAGCCGAGGAATTCGGTTCCCTTACAAAGTGGAAACCGTTGAGGAGATTATTATGTTGAGATTATTGTGTAGGGGGAAGAAAAAAAGGGAAAAAAGATCGAAGTGAGAAGAAAATACGAGAATAATACGCGAAAAAAAAAAACTTGGCAGGCTGAAAAAGCAACGATAACGAGACAAACAAAGCTTATCGCGCGCAACTTCTTCTTAATTCGGAGAAATTAAATCCCTGATCGCCATTTTAATCGAATCCTCTGATCCAAGTCAGATTGCAAATGCAATCTGACGTTTCGTCCAAGTTTAAAATCGTCGATTCTATTGTTGTTAACGAGATCGTGTGTTCAAGTTTCTGCAATCAACGAGGTAACTACGTTTTCAGAAGTTCGATCAAGTACGAAATCCTTTCGCAGAAAGGAAAGAAATCGAAAAAGCGAAATATTACGGAAATTTTTATCAGGCCTGACGATTCTTTCTGAAATTGCTTTTTCTCGACCTTTCCCGCTAAATGGAACGAATTTTCAGTACAAGAAAAAAAAATTGAGAAACTCCTTAAGGGAAAGGTAAAAGATATCGAAGGTAGATCGTCGATTTAATTCGGTTCATCGATCGCTCATCATTTCTGCAACAACCATTTTTGAGGAGGAGCATTAACGTATAATCACGTAATCCGAATCGAAAAAATGTTTGCCTTTCTTGGTTATATAAATACATCACGTTCTCAGAATTTAAAATGAAAATTCGGATGCATACAATTGGAAAAGCATCGGCTGTAGATAAGAGACGAGAAAATACAATATATACTCGTCATTTTTGCTATAAAATGACAGAGAGAAAGAGGGAGAGAGAGAGAGAGAGAGAGAATATTAATCCAATATCTACGAAAAAAAAATGCATGTATTCACGTATACAGGAATAAGTTGGCAAAAAAATTGCAAATTCAGCAAGGACGTGGTTGTTGTGTTCGTATGCGAAATGAAAAAAGCGAGAGGGAGGGGCGCGCAAAAGAGAAGACGAAGTTGGAGGGAAGTGAAAGCTGCGTGTTTAAGAAGAATTTACAAAAGAACCGATATCGAACGGCAACCTGTAATATCGAATTCGAACGAAAATTCGAGATCCCTCCCTGCCTTTCGAGAGAGAGAAAAAGAGAAATATATCGGAATATGGAAAAAGGAGGGAAAATGTAAAAATTCCCGCGCGGAAAACGCGAGGAGGAGGTATCCGACGCGGCGAGCTTCCATAGCTGGATAGCTCTCTCGAATAGACAATACAAATGCTTTCCCGTTCATTCGTGGCGGTTCGTCCATCGCGGCGAGCCAAGAGTCCCGGACGTATCGATTACACCTGGTCGAGGGATGGAAAGAAAGAAAGGAAGCTGGACGAGTGGGAAAGGAAGGGCGCGTGGAAAAGGAGAAAGGATAAAATTCAATCCGGGTGAAATTCGTTGAGAGAGGCAAACAATGGCGATTCGTAATTAAAATGGACGAAAAAGTAGGAAGGAGTGGCGGGCAACGATGAAAAGCAAGGGACGCAAAATAAAGGTGTTTCGAGTGTCATAATTAAGCAGCAGTGGAAACGGGCGAAGAAAGGGGATGTAAAATTATATAACAACGAGTTTACGAGGGAAGATAAGATTTTGTAAAAAAAAAAAAAATAAATAAATAAATAAACAAATATATAGGTAGGTAAAAGTAGCTGCGAAATTTGTTGCTCCCTTGGAAAATCGATGATAACGAACGGAGGGAAATGGAGGAAAAAGATCACACGCGATGTGATATCTACGTATATTCGTTTTGTTTGACAAACTGTCGCTCAAGAACATCTCCAGATCTTTTTACCGTGAAAGTTCATCCAATAGTTTGATGGAAGCGAGTCCATCCAAGTTGTATAAAGTTGGAGTAGATGTTACGACGAGAGATTTCATGATTGGTATCTACGGTATATACGGTAACGATGTTTGATCCTCCGATGCTATTTATACAAGCAGAGATTTGTAAATCGTTAAAACTGATTAAAAGTTTCTGATCAAAGCCAATACATATTTGCTTGCATACTTCATTGTGTTCCTTCGAATGACTCGCTATCGTCGTCTTTGCGGACGACGTTGAATCAAAATTAGAATCACCTTTTAATCGGAATATCATCCGTGTGTTCGAAAGCGAAAAATCGGCAGATGAATGAAAAATCGTGAATTTCAATCGTTAAAACTATTGAACTTCCAGTCGATTGATCGATCGACGATAAATTTCACTCTCCATTTTCGAGAAATATTTTCAACGTATAATATAAATATTTTAACCGGTTGCTCGTCGATATCTCAAATATTAGTTCGATCGAATACGAATAGCCGGGGAGAAAAGTTTGAAAGGAAAAATCTTTCGTTGCGCACAGATTGCAAAGACGGTGTTCAATAACGTTTGACAATTCCTTTTGTGCGCGAACGTAACGCGGGGAGTCGTTTCGTCAGAAAATTGAAAATAAGCAGAAGCAACCGTTCCGGTGGAGTGCAACGAGCTACATGATTTCCAACGAGCGACAAAGACTCGGCAAAGGAATCGATAAGGAAAATATTAGGAGCGGAGGCGCCACAAAAGAGATGCAGAAGGTCTCCATTACTGGAGGCAAGCTCAAAGGGAACTTTCGAACCTGCAACTTTCGATACCCGAACTCGACTCGCCTTTATTTTTCCCTTACCCTTACGATTCTTGACCCAAAAAATGGATCTGATCGAGGGAAAACCACCACCAGGATCGAGAATGTCGAGAACAATCATCGTTTTTTTTTTTTTTCGAACAATCGTGTTCGAAATTGGATATTCGCATTCGAAAATCGTTTAATATCTTTGTACAGGTTGAAACGCAGGAAAATTGGATCGAAGAAAATGGGAGAACGTTTTTTAAAAAGTATTCGTACTTTACCGCTTCTTCTACTTTTACACGTAAACTTTTAACTTGAATTTTCCCCCGTTGCATTTTATCCTTGCTCCTTTTTTCCTCGTTGTTACTTTATCCTGATTCACGATCTCGCCCAACGGTTCGAGATTGCATAATTACCAAGTTTCATAAGAGAATTTCGTCGAACCAGATTGAAAGATAAATATTATAAATACCTGATATTAAAACGCCTTAATTAAGCTATATTTCACGTTCTCGCAGGCTACTTTTCTTTAATGTTCTCATCTCGCCCCGAGCTCACCCTATTTGTCACGCGAGCATGATGGCCCTACTTTACAACGATTCTACTTTCCGCGATTCTTTTTAATTCTATCACCATTTCTCCTGTTCTCTCTCCTCGATATAATCGATATAAGAAAATACTACGACGCGTCCATTAGATTTGTATATAACAACTTTTTTAACTTTTTTATTTCAATAAAGATAACGCCAAAGAAATGTTCGAAGTAAACGGAAAGTAAGAAAAACGAGAAAAATCGTATTTTCCAAGGGATCACGATCGAAGAATGAAGATAGAGGATAGCGAATTATGGCGAGAAGGAGAGGAAAAATGGAAAATAGGAAACGTTTCTTCTCATCTCGAAAATCTCGTGAAACGATCGTGCGCGGTTCTCGAAACGAAACGTTTCCAAAGAGCGGCGATCGAGTTTCTTCCATGGTCAAGTCGTGCCAACCAAGAAACCAGAGTAATCTCTAAACCGGGCTAGTCGAGCGCATACCCGTGCTCCTTCCATTCCATTCCATTTTTCCATGCTCTCTCCAAATTCTTTCTGCTCGGTTTGAAATACGACTGACGTTCCGTGTCCTGTTAAAATACCATCGATACCTTTGCAATGGATTTACCCTTTCATGACATTTGATATTTTGTTAGAACGAATTAATTCATTAAAACCGATCGAACCTTTTAATTATATAATCTTAATAATCGTAAGATTTTTCGTTTTCGAGTTTATTTATACGTGTAAAGATGAAACTATTTCGTCCATTTATGCGTGAATTGAATATAGTATAACGAAGACATAGGCAGGATATCTATGTAACATAGTTTATTCCTATTCCTTTTTTCCTATTAATCCAATGACATCATATTTAACTTGCACCTTTCCCGTGCAAATTAGCTCGACGAAATCCGGGCCCAAGCGGTAGCCACTTTGCAACGTAGATTATCGTAAGAATCGTGATTTTCTCGTGGTAAGAACTCGTACTGGTAAATCTCCATTGAAAAAATTCATTTTACGAGTCGCGATGTTTAAGTTTAGTCCGATCTTCAAGTTCACGAGTTCCACTTGTGCTATTCATGTTTGGGGCTGAAATCTTCATCAGACTCGTGATAATACGAGAAGGGGTTAAATACCCTTCGAATATGATAGGATGATAGTTTTTAAGAACTCATATAAGATCAACCAGTAAAGATAAAATTCCAAAATTTTGCATGCGTAATGCTGAAAGATTGAACTCGCAAATACACATCTTGTATGAACGGTAAGAAATGCCGTAGCAACTTGTTCATGCGATTTCTTACTTAGTATTTTTCTATTTGCAGAAACCAGGCTGCATCCACGGGGAGGACCTTCCATATTTTTTCGGGGCACCGTTGGTAGGCGGCCTGTCTCATTGGCCGAAGAACTACACGAGGGCAGAGATGGCTCTCTCGGAGAGCGTGATACTCTACCTGACGAATTTCGCGCGCACAGGGTGAGTTGCGAGACGTTAATTTGCCTAACGTTGACGTCGAAACGTGGAAATGAACGATAGGTGTGTAAACAGGAATCCGAACGAGGGGACGCCTGACATTGGACCGATGAGACCCGAGAGGACGAAGTTGAAGAACATCGATTGGATCGCTTACGAAACGGTGCACAAAAAGTATCTGAGCATAGGTGAGGCTGAAATCGAGTTAAACTTCCCGATCGAGATTTTAAGAGGGAGAACATGTTGATCTCGTTCATTAAACCAAAGAAAGATTCGTTCGTTGTTGCGAGTGAAAATTCTTCTCGATGTATAAATATCGAGAATCGTCTCGATTTTTCCATTCGGCTTTCCAACGAGGTCCAGAGAGTTATGTTATTACAAGACGATTCGAAATTTTGATATATAAATATCGAGAATCGTCTCGATTTTTCCACTCGAGTTATGTTATTACAAGACAATTCGAAATTTTGAAAATTTCGTTACGTTGGAAAATGTTCGATTCCCATGCATTCTAATTTCCTCTCGTAATCTCGACTCGCTAGAGTTTCCAATTAGCCTCAGTTTTCACGATTCCGCGTCAGCTTGAATCCCGAGGCATTAACCGTTCAGAGGCGGAATAAACGTTTCTCGTTAAGGAGATTCGATCCTCTCCGGAAAACTGCCGAATGGAATGAATGAAAAAAGAGGAAGGGGCGAGAGGGGAGGAAGGAAGGAGTTTCGGAGTAGGTCGTTTCCTCCATTCGGTGAAATCTCCGCGTTTCGTTTCGAGATGGAAACTATTATTTAATCCGATTAGCCCGTGAAACGTGTATAACGAACGTAGTCTTGCAGAGCTGCCACGCATCTCGTACGTGTAACTAAAGAGGATTAGCGAAAATTTATTTGCATAATTCTCATTCTCGTCGCTGGACGAGAATAAGAATTCTTCTCGGGAATGGACATAAATCATTTTTTCCTTTTCCTCTTTTTTTTTCCTTCTCCTTTTTCCTCTCAAAACGTTTCTTTGAAATGTTTCGTAGCTCGATCCTTTCGTTTTCTCCCTCGTATACCCCTTCGTTTCGTAATTCTTTCGTAAAGATAAAAAGAAGATAAATATCGAGTTGTCGCTAGTTACATCACACGCTCGCTGCGTAGAAGTTTGAATCGAGAAAAATCGAGAGAAACTAAAGAAGAAAAAAGGATCTTTCGGTTTCGGTTTTATTTCCTTTTCGTCCGATTTTCAGACAAAGACTAGTCTAGGCTCCGTGAGATTGCCTATGACGCGTGGCGCAACGAGAGAACGAAAGAAGAAAAGAGAGTCGGCGCAGCGAGCGGGCGGAGATTTCACAGCCACGGCCTCGATGGAATGTTCGAGGAAGTCGGAGCGCAGTGCGGCTCAAACTATGCCACGTCGTGGCCGCAAGTAGAAAAGTCGACGCGTAGCCAGCCCTGGGGGGCAACTGTCTGACTCTGTTCCACACTCGTCAACCGAGTGCTGCAACTTTGAGCCGCACTGGCTAACGAAGCTGTCTTCTCTCTCTCTCTCTGTGAGAGATTATCACGCGACAATAATTAATTACCCTGCTGTTAATATGAAAAGGTTCCCGTGGAAAGCCTGCCTTTTCAGGTTATCGTGCGAGTAGGAGTCGCACTTGCTCCCCTCGTTCTCTCTAAAAAGCGCCACTCTCTCTCTCTCTCTCTCTCTCTCTCT